AGGCGGAGGTTGCGGTGAGCCGAGATCGCGCCATTGCACTCCAGCCTGGGTAACAAGAGCGAAACTCCGTCTCAAAAAAAAATAAAATAAAATAATGGTAAAGTGTACTAAGTTTACAACATATAAAGTACTATGGTAAATTGCTCTCAAATATACCAGTTGCATATCAACATCTTCCCTTTTTCTCACAGGCAACCCTCCTGCTACGGGCACTGGGACTTTGCTGATAACCCTGGAGGACGTGAACGACAATGCCCCCTTCATTTACCCCACAGTAGCTGAAGTCTGTGATGATGCCAAAAACCTCAGTGTGGTCATTTTGGGAGCATCAGATAAGGATCTTCACCCAAATACGGATCCTTTCAAATTTGAAATCCACAAACAAACCGTTCCTGATAAAGTCTGGAAGATCTCCAAGATCAACAGTAAGTCTGGTTAAAGCATTCCCTCTTTATTCTTCCAGCTTTCAGTTTAGTTTCTCTTTCCCAAAATGCTCTTTCTCTACTACTCTCTCATGTATTCTCATTTGTTTCATTTTAAGTTATTGACATATTATAAACACTGATAATTTTCCCACCAGCGAACAAATGCAATTTATAAAAATATTGAATGCTGTTTCTTACAAAAGCAAACATAGACATTTTCTCTTCTGCTTCCTCTCTGATCTTTTCTATACTGTACGCCCTGTGTTGTATACCCTATCCTGTCTACTGTATATACTATATACTATAACTCCAGTATTCTTTATTTAAAAATGTAATATATTTAGGGGGTACAACTGCAGACTTCTAACATACATACAATGCACAGTGGTGAAATCTAGGCTCTTAGTGTCCCTATCACCCAATAGTGAACTTTCTCTTGACTCATCTGTAGTTTCTGCATTTCTGCCATTCCAGAGTTCTCAGCCACGAGACTGTGATTCTTTGTCCTTCCTCTTTCTCTTGCTTTTTTCTTTTAATTAAACTCGACAGATTCTTTCTTTGTAACTAGCTTACAAAGAATATTGCCCAACCTGCCCAGTCTTAGGCCTTCAAAATACAGGAGTCTCTGCTTCTCCCCACGTAGCTCTTGGCTCAGCGTCTCTCCAGTCTCAGAGACAGGGAACTGTGTTTACATTAACTTTCACCAGCGCATTCAAGAGACTTTTCATGGTGTACCTGCCTTCATAAAAGACTAAAGGAAAGAGAAGTGCTAGGATAAGAATCTTCAGCCTCTAACCTTCCATTGTATGCTGCAGACCTCCTCGAACTTGACTTAGTCTAATGACGGCCTTGGCTTTTCTTTCAAATCCTTGGCCATCATCCTTGACTTTGATGTCTTCTTCCATGGGTCTTCCTTCTCCTTTATGAAACGTGCAAGCAATGTCTCCTCCCATCTGTCCTTCCATATGGGTAGGTGGAGTTCAAAACTTAACCCAACATCTATCACTTGCCCTATGAAGACTGAAACACCAATGTATTAATATGAAGTATCCCTAAATCCGCAATCTCACCCACGTTCTTCCCCAAATGTGAACTGCTAAGTTCACTTTGTCTCCCAACAAAGTCAAAGAACAGAAAAAGGAAAGTAAAGGAAAAAAAGACATTAGACACGACATCTTCAATAATGAACTTACCCTGCTATTGACCTAGTCAGGGTTCTCACTTCTTATATCCGTGGTAGAACTTTTGAGGGAGACAGAGAATTACCCATTTCATTAGATTTTGCAAATGTATTGTACAGTTGTGCATAACATTTTCTATTTAAAAATCTCATAAGTATTGTTATAGCCCTATCTCATATCTTATTTTATTAGTGCCTTTTGCTTGTTATTGATTCTATTTGCCTGTCTATTTTACTGCTTTTTAAAGAATGAATTCTGTTACACTGATTATTTTTTTATTAAAACAGCCCTTCTCTTGTTTGAGGGGTTAATGTTTTATTTGCTGGTTTTTATGGATATAACCAATTTAAATAAGCATCTCCAGTTCTGTCCAACTGGAGCTTTCCCATTCAAGAGTTTTTTTGGTGGGGGGTGGAGGAGGGCAGTGAACATCAGGATATACAGCCAATGCATGCTGGGCTTAATACCTACGTGATGGGTTGAGAGGTGCAGCAAACCACCATGGCACACGTTTACCTGTGTAACAAACCTGCACATGTACCCCAGAACTTAAAAGTTTTTTTAAAAAAAGTAGTTTCTCCTCTGCTCAGGGAAGACAGAAAAATGCTCTTTGATTTAATCTGCCATCTTACTGGGTGACCATCACATTAGTTATTGCTGCTGCCGTCACCTTCCAGTAATGACCGTGCTTCACCTATTTTTATTTCCACGTCATTACACTCTTGTTTTTTTCTCCTTGCTTTACTTAATAGATAAATGCCTTCTAAATTACTTTGTTGTCTCCTACATTTTTTTCTCAGCATCTAGTCCTGTTTATTCCCAGAAAAGGGCATTAAAAAATATGTTTGCCCCTCATCATCTGAGTGACTTTAGCCCAAGGCTGAACAAGAGGCCAGCTGGTGCAGCCACTGCCAAGTGTCACCCAGTGGCCTGGGTGACAGTGGATATTGCCACCGCATATGGCATTAGGGAAGTGGAGGGGAAGCTTAAAGATCCAGTCTCTGTGTTGAGGGTTCCCACCCAAATCTAGAGCTGTAGACTGATGACTGATTAAAAAAATAAAAAACAAGGCTGGGTGCAATGGCTCACACCTGTAATCCCAGCATTTTGGGAGGCCAAGGTGGGCAGATTACCTGAGGTCAGGAATTCGAGACCAGCCTGGCCAATATGGTGCAACCCCATCTCTACTAAAAGTACAAACTTTAGCTCATTGTGGTAGTATGTGCCTGTAATCCCAGCTACTCAGGAGGCTGAGGCAGGAGAATTGCTTGGACCCAGGAGGTGGAGGTTGCAGTCAGCCGAGATCACACCACTGCACTCCAGGCTGGGCAATAGAGGGAGACCCTGTCTCAAAAAAAAAACTAAAGACACAAAACATAGGCTATGGAACCCATTTCCATGACAGCAGATCAGGGTCCTGCCCACATTGAGAGCAGGTTGATTTTCACCTTAGCTTTCTAGATGTGGAATACGTTTTTTGTCGAGATGGCTTTTTCGTGTAATAAATTTGCAGGGAGGAATTCTAGGTACTCAGTCATCTTCATGAAAGGAGCTCTTCTTGAAATTGATTATGATGGCACTGAGGCACAGAACTCTGATGATGGAAACATCCTGTCTCATTACAGGAGCCACCAGCCATTTGTGCCTTCCAGACCCTTGGAATGTGGCAGGTGCCATTGAGGATCTTAACTGGTATTTTTATTTGATGTTAATCAATTTAAATTTAAGCATTCCCATGATTATAAATGAAAATGTGACATCTGTTTGGTGTGATTTTAGTCACCAAAACCTCACTCTTTTATTGGAAAAAGTCTCATCCTCTCTCACCAGGATCCTTCTTCCCTTTACAGATACACATGCCCTGGTCAGCCTTCTTCAAAATCTGAACAAAGCAAACTACAACCTGCCCATCATGGTGACAGATTCAGGGAAACCACCCATGACAAACATCACAGATCTCAGGGTACAAGTGTGCTCCTGCAGGAATTCCAAAGTGGACTGCAACGCGGCGGGGGCCCTGCGCTTCAGCCTGCCCTCACTCCTCCTCCTCAGCCTCTTCAGCTTAGCTTGTAAGTTGGCCTAACTCCAGTGCATGCACAGGTATGAAATTGTAACTTCACAGGATCCATGACACCAGCGTTTTTCCATATACCTTTCCAAGAAAATGCATTCTGGAAGAATCATTCATCTTTTGTGTATGTCTCTATGATAGAACATGTTACATGTAAAAGTGATCCACCTAATGCTTGAAGGCATCTTAACAATCCCTGCCAGACAGTCTGAGGAATTGTACAAAGGTGTTCATTGCTAGCCTGCAAACCAGATGGTAAGCAAAACGTCCTACAGATGCCGCTCAACTTGAGCTAATGAAAATGTGCCCAGATTAGTTAACTGTTCTATCAGAGGCCCGTTTCTCTCTACATTATGCAGAATAATCTTTTGCAAGGTTAAAACAGGTATGATGAGACTTTCTGAGAATACTCATGAGAATTTATGGATGGAGGTTGGGCTGCAGGGGAAAGGATAAATGCGTAACTCACAATGTTTTTTCACTGACTAGTAATAATGACTATAATATAATGAAACATTATTTTAAACAAATGAATTATTATGCAGAGTAATATAGATGCATAGATGTGAGGATAAAATGAATAAATACGTGTGTCAAATATTCCTCATTTATGAACTACTAGTCCAATTTTAACTTTAGCGGTGATTTATATGTAACTGTTACCGTCCAAAAGCCTCTGGGGCCTTGCTCTTTGCCTTTTGAGAAGGTATCGGTGTAACTGTGAATTAGGAAGTTGGGAAATTCACAGAAAAAGAAAACAGAAGGTTTTACATCCTAGTGACAGTAGCAAGCCACCAGGAAATCACAGAGTCCAACATTGGGCATGTATGTGTGTAAAGCTGTATGCAAGACCAGAGTCCTGTGGGTAGAAGGAAAAAGAAGGGCTGGGTGTGGTGGCTCACGCCTGTAATCCCAGCACTTTGGGAGGCAAAGGCAGGTAGACCGTTTGAGGTCAGAAGTTCAAGACCATTCTGGCCAACATGTTGAAACCCCGTGTCTACTAAAAATACAAAAATTAGCCATGCGCGATGGCACGTGCCTGTAGCCCCAGTTATTCGGGAGGCCAAGGCAGCAGAATCACTTCAACCTGGGAGGTGGAGGTTGCAGTGAGCCAAGATCATGCCTCTGCACACCAGCCTGGGTGACAGAATGAGAAATCATCTCAATCAGAAAAAAAAAGAAAAAAAAAAAAAAAAAAAAAAAAAAAAGAAAGGAGAAGCCATTACAGCATCTCACTGGCCCTTCAGACTAGACATTTCTGATAGTGAACATATTGTCGTCCCCTTGTGACCTGTCCCTTTCCCTGACTTGTCTCTGATGACTGTACCACTGCCATCATCATGACCATCATCCCCATGTCTCCTTCCCAGTCTTCCCACTGCAAAGCCCAACAGAGTCTATGGGTGCAACAGTTCCATCCATCCCTGCCTCCACCCACCTGTCTTAGATGCTTGTGTTCACTTACCTCGATTATCTCACTGGCTTTCTAACTTCATCTCATCTGATGAGCATGCGAATCAGAAAGAGAAAATAGGAATCAGGAGGCTGCCCCTCAGAGGCTCCTTCTGAGTCTTTTCTGTAAAGTAGAGACAATTTCAGATGAAGGGATAGAGATGGGGCCAGGGCCTGAGAGGAAATTAGGAAATCTGGTCAAAGGGCAGACAGTTGGCAGTCGGGCTGTACTTTGAGCAGGGGTGGTCCAGAGGAGACTGGATACTGTCTTAGTCTGTTCAGGCTACTATAACAAAATACCATAAACTGAGTGGCTCATAAATAACAGAAATTTACTGCTTATGGTTCTGGAGGCTGGGAAGTCCAAGAACAAGATTCTGGCAGATTCATTGTCTAGTGAAAGCCCACTTTCTGGCTCATACATGATGCTTTCTCCCTGCATCTTCACATGATGGGAGAGGCAAGGCAGCTCTTGGGTGCCTCTTTTATATGGGCACTCATCCCATCCCATCCATGAGGACTCTGACTTCCTGACCTTCTAATTTCCCAAAGGCCCACCCTCCTAATACCATCGCCTTGGGGATTAGGTTTCAGCATATGAATTTTGGAGGACACAAACATTCAGACCATAGCACATACCATGAATTTATAGCAACTCATTATGCTTGTTTGCCCCTTGCTGTGCTGACAGATAGCCTAGACCTAGATTTCTAGAGTGTAGGAATATTCCCTTCATGAGCATGTACTGTCTGGGGCCTGGTCTGCTGAGTCATTGCTAGTAACCTGCAAGTCATTCTTATATAGTATCAGCTGGGTAGATGATGGTGGATCTCAACTCTGGCTGCACAATAGAAGCACCTGGGGAATTTTTAAACATAGCTACCCATACCTGGGCCCTAACCTATGAATGTATGAATGGAAAGGCAGCTCAGATGTTTGTCCTTTTTTTTTTTTTTTTTT